ATACTATTGCAGTAAATAGAAAATTGGTAATAAAATGTAGCAAACTAGGACTTGATTTAAAAAAAAAAAAAGAAGAAAAAAACAAACTAACCTTCTCAAATGCATTTTCTTGCAATATATTCATTTTTCATTATACTATTGCTTGTATTTCCTTCACTTTGGAAGTCAATGTATACAAATACTCCTAATATTAAATATCATATCATATTATATTATTATTAAATATATACAAATGTTCCTATTTATTATCTATGTTCTAAAAATGGCTCTTTGGACAAAGACTAATACATTCTGCTGCACTCTGTTCTGAACTGACATCTCTAGGGCTGGATAACAGTACTGACATATGATTCATGCTACCTAGCTACATGGTTTTATGAAAACTGATAGTGTGAGTTGCTGATTCAGAAAATGGAAAGAATTGACAACTCTGACGTGATCAGGTGCGCGTGCAAAGATAGCGGATAGCAGCTCACAGTACGCAGCAGGCGGTGAGTATGCTGAAGATGCTGCGGAAGCAGGCAGGGGTTTTGCTATCGTTGAAAGCCCTGATGGCATTGATCTGATGGAGACAGTGTTGTGGTAGTGGGAGCACTCCCACAGAGTGCTTGTCCTGTGGGAATTTAGAAAAGGCAGCGGAGGAGTTGTGGGAAGAAGTGAAAGTAGGAATGGAGGTGTAGTGTTGGCAGGTGGCTTGGGACTTGGTGTTAGGTCGGCTTGGGGAGGAAGGAGAGGAGTCAGGGAAGGAGCCTGCTATGGGGGGTGAGGAGGACGCTGCGGAGGTTGAGAAGAACAAGGTGGAATCAGAGGCTGGGGAACAAAAAGAGGACTTGGGGATGGATACACCTAGAAGGAGTTGTGGGGGAGTCGCGCCGGGAGCGGAGGATGATGTGCCTTGGGCAGAGCCTGTATGGCCTCCTATGGCGTCTAATTTGAGGGTTACTGGGGCTACACCAGCGTTCTCGTATGTCCCAGGGACGGTGCCTATTCCCATCGCTATTTCAGTGATGGCGCCTAAGGCCCCTCCCCCGTATGCTGGAGGGGGTGCCGTGGGGGCGGAAGCGGCTGGCTCGCAGTTGCAGCAGAAAGGGGAGAGGCAAGAGCAATCAGGGCCTCTGACTGGAGGAGAAGGGGCCAGGCAGGCAGAACAGGAACTGAGCGTAGAGGAGGCTGCGACTGCGCAGACAGCGGTGCAGCGGCTGTTGCATAAGATGCAGAAGACGGTGAAAGAAATGAGTGCTGTTGTTCAAATAGCAGAGTGGGCAGCAAATAGGGCAGTCTTGAACATCAGTGGCGCTGCCTTAAATGATGCCCTGCAAGAAACTGGAAGGGAGTGGCTTAGCAGGGCTAAGTGTATTGATGGGCTGTCAGCTGCGGACCATTGAGGCTGATGGAACCCTGCCCTCAATGGCGTTTCCAGTTCTGGTGGGTCCAGATGGGGCCCGTCAATGGAATCTTGTAGATTATAAAGTTCTGCTGCAGTTGAGATCAGCTATTCAGTCAGAAGGGATATCGGGATTAGGGACGCAGCTGCTGTTAGATACCATCGCGAGGACCGCTAATGTTTGACTGGCTGCAGACAGCCAGGGCAGACTTAACACCGGCACAATGTACAGTGTGGGAGCAACAGGTGAGGACTCAGGCAGAGGTGACTATTATACAAGTGCAGACGGCTATTACTAAAGACAGAATGGGTGCTAAACTTTTACCTGTTTGGCACCAAACAATGGAAGGACTTAAACAAATTCGACAAGGAAGAATTTATTTCAACTATTCCCCACAGCCCTCCCTCCCACCCCAATCGCTGCCCCTCAGTGCAGAAAGCAGCCCTGGTCCGGATTCGATCCGTGGATCCGACCCCATCCCTGACAGCGGAGAAGAGAAATCACAACCCCTCCCCTGTCGCTGCTGCAATCGGCTTCGCCCCTGGCACACATCCCCCTCCCGCCTTCGGCTCCGCTCCATCACTCGTCGCACCACTCCCGCCTTCGGCTCCGCCCACGATGCTCGCCGTGCCCCGCCCTCTGCCCACCCACGACGTTCGCTGCACTGCCACTGCCCCCCACGCCCTACCTACGTTGCTCGCTGTGATGCTGCCACTTTCCACCCCGCCTTTGTCATCTCCTGCTGCGTCTCTGCAACTTGTGTGTAACTTGGTTAAAGGCAATAACAGACCTACATATACTTCTAAGGCTACACTAACTTTCCTCCAAGAATGGGGGGTTAAACATATTACAGGCATTCTTCATTCTCCCACTGGACAAGCTATCATTGAGCATACTCATCTAACATTGAAATCTATTCTTAATAAACAAAAAGGGGGGATACAGGAGACACACCACAAGAAAGATTATGGACTGACCCTATGTGGGTTCTAGCACGATACGTTCGGACTTATCTCAAGGCAGAAAATAGTATCCAGCCTTTATAATGACTGGGATTGTGTGCTTCTTATCATAGAATCATAGAATCATGCAATTAGTCAGGTTGGAATGGACCTCAAGGATCATCAAGTCCAACTACAGCCTAACCGTAGTACCCTAATTCTAACAACCCTCTGCTAAATCATATCTCTGAGCACCACATCCAAATGTCTTTTAAACACATCCAGGGATGGTCACATTAATGACCTCCCTGGGGAGCCTATTCCAATGTTTAACCACCCTTTCTGTAAAGAAGTGTTTCCTAATGCCCAACCTAAACTTACCTTGGTGCAACTTGAGGCCATTTCCCCTTGTCACCTGTCACCAGTGAGAAGAGACCTATCCCACTCTCACTGTAAAGGTACTCACAGTACCTTTCAGGTACTGGAAGAGAGTAATAAGGTCTTCCCAGTTTATTGGTATTGCTTTGTAACTTGTTATATTGCAAATAGCAGCAGTAGTAGTGGTATATATAGTGGGTGATTTTCCTGTGTTATCAATATAGTCTCAAGAATTAGAGTTATTAGGCGTTTTCTAGGTTGTTGTTTGCTTCTTTTATTTTAGTAGTAGTTTGAATGTGAATTAAACAGGATTTAATGTTACTACTGTAGTAATCTACGGGAATAGCTCTTTTGATGTATGCTCGGTTATGATGCCATCAGCCTATCAATTAGCCTTTTCTTGATTTGCAAAGACAAAACCTGGAAAGGAATCCCAGCCAAAAGGATAATCCTGTATTATAGAATGATTAACTCTCTTTCATCACACTAATCGAGATATTTAAAATATGATCATGCAGCTACTGAGGCAAAGACGCACGCTAAGAGAGCTAACCTTGATAGTTTATTATGTTTTGCAAGCAGGTGTTCCACTTGGGCTCTGTATCATGCACTGGTCATGTGGATGGCCATGTGGAAAATACCCTTCAGACCCTGAAAAGAATAAAACAAGAGAGAATCTGTGATGGGTGGGAGAGGAAAGTGCACCTTGAAGCAGGGGATGCCCTGCTGGCACTGCCTATCGCATTCACCACCACCATGTTCTTTCTCTCTCTTTTTCTGCAGGCTGCTGTTTCTTGAGGGTCAGTAAGTAACAGTGCCCCTAGTTCTATCTGGCATGCAAACGTTGTCTGACTATTGATTCTCTATTAGCCCAAAGGCATAATGAGCACTCTAAAAGCATTTGTTGTACAAATCTAGTGACTTTTCAAAGTCACTCTGTCAGATGTCAGTCAATATGTCAGAATATATGAAAGTTGAAGACTTCTTTCTAATCAGTTAGAGATTAACACAGAACAGGACCTTCAGGCATTTATTTCCAGGTTGCAGAAAGTTGGCCTGCAGACCAAACATGTGTTTGTTCTTTTTAGTAGGTTAACAGTAGTTCTTGTCATTATGCTATGTTAGTCTTTCTCACATTTAGAGTATTGTCAATCGAGGCCTTAATTGAGTTATAATGATTATGTTATTAATATAATTAGTGTTACAATTCTTCACAGTGACACCCATAGACAAGGACTAATCTTTTCAGCAGATACAGTATATCTGCACCTCTACACACTATTCTTGTCCTAATGACTAAGGAAAACAATAGTAGAAAGTAGGGGACATGGTAGCATTGCATAGAGAGGACGAATATGTAGGTGGTACTCAGTGTGGGTGGTACTCGGGCTATGGTGGGTGGTAGATATAGGGGGTGGTTCTGGATGGTGCTCAATGGGTCATGGGTTCACGGGGCAGTTGCGTGTCATGGTATATAAGCAGTTGTTGCGCAGCAATAAATTGGCACTTGAGCTACACTCTATGCGTGAGTCTCTTGTGTCCCTGCACTGTGTGGGGTGCAGATATAGGGGGGCTGATGTGGTGCTGCTGACCAGGCAGGATTACGAGAAGGTTGGCAACAGAAAACTTTATTTAAAACTTTTATTTCTTTAAAAATTATATGGTACATTTGTAGGTACCTTCATTATGCTAATATTTATAACTCAAATAAACATGTAATTCCTTACAGAAACATTCAGTTAAAAGCTCTAGTACACATTTGTATGTATCTAGTTTGGAATATGGAAGGTCTTTGGAAAATATTGGACAGAATTTTCACTTATCTTTAATTGGAAATTTTTAAAGACTCCCTTGTAATACATTCTTTGTGCATAAAGGAGGGAAATCAATGTATTTTTTTAAACGGGAATTGTAAAACCTCTGGTTTTGGGAATGGTAACCTTGCATCTACTAGTTGTCAACACTGCAGTTTTTCATTTTAGAACTTACTTCGTATGTTGCCTAGGTAGAATTCAAGGCATTTTTTGTTTTTTTGTTGATGACTGAAATTATATGTATCTTTAAAAAAGGAAATTTCATTCAGTAAAATGATAATGTTAAAAATTGGATGAACAGATTTTGAGGTAGATATTCCTGAAACAGTTTTTTTAATATACTGATGACTAAAATGAAAGACTGTTAAAAGGTTAAGTGATTTTTTTTTTCAACACATTGAGAAAACAAAGGGTGTTAGAAGATTGGAATATTTTCATGTATTTGCAAAATGTAACTAAAATAAAGCAAAATTTCTTTCTAGCTAAGTAACCTGAAGCAAGTTACAGTTGTGGATGTGTCAGCGAACAAGTTCCATTCTATTCCAGTTTGTGTACTTCGGATGTCTAATTTGCAGTGGTTGGACATTAGCAGCAACAACCTGAGAGATCTCCCAGAAGACATAGACAGGTAGTTTGTGTTTTAATTCATGGATAGGCTTGTGAATTACAAAGAAAATCTTGAAAGTAACAAACTTCCAAAGGATACAATTAATAAAAAATCACATGAAAAAGTTCACATTGCATTAGATAGTTTTACACTTTTGCTTTGCTATTTTTATTTGTGGATTGGGTCAGAGAACATAAACTACATTTCCTAGCTCACTGATATTATATTGCACAGTCAGTTCCTCTACTCTTCAGTTAACAAATTGCATTCTCTGCCACAGTTATGATAATTTATGATCATATTCACACAATGTTTTTGGGAAGTTCACGGGTTGTATGTGTGTTGCAGTTCCAGCAAATGGGACTTAACACAGGGAGTTGTCAACAGTATTCCAAAATAGTTTCTAAAAAATGGAATCCTGATCCCTTAAATGCTAGGCAGATAAGGCATTTCTTTTTTTTAATCCCCAGGCCCATTTATTTACTCTGAAATCCATTTGTAACCTGGTTTAGGAAACTTTACAAAAATATTAACAAAAGTTTCTTAAAAAAAAAAAAAAAAAAAAAAAAAAAAAAGGAAAAGGAGAAGGAAAAGGAGAAGGAAAAGGGAAAGGGAAAGGGAAAGGGAAAGGGAAAGGGAAAGGGAAAGGGAAAAGGGGGAGGGGAGAATACAAGGGAAGTGAAGGGAAAGGAAGGGAAGGGAAGGGAAAGGAAGGGAAGGGGAAGGGGAAGGGGAAGAGGAAGGGGAAGGGGAAGGGGAAGGGGAAGGGGAAGGGGAAGGGGAAGGGGAAGGGGAAGGGGAAGGATTCCTGAGGAAGAAGAGACTTCATAGAAAAATCATGCATCTTTCTCATTCACAGAAACTATGTGGCTGGGTACAAAGACTTTGCTGGGACATTACATAAACATATTTCTGTGATGGAAAGGCTGAAGTGTCAGAGCGTATTAGTAATTAAAATACTGTAGAATACTCTAGCTACAATAATGTAGAGCTGTTTCCTCAAAACTCCCAGGAATATGAGCAGAGATTTGATTAATTCAAAAGAGCTTGTAAGACAATATTTTTATTTTGTTGAGGGATACCAATTTGATTTATCAGTAATTATTTTATTTATAACTTGCAACCTATATGTATTCATCTCTAAAATATTCCTTTTGTTTACCATTTAGAATTGAATTGTAAAAAACGTCAGTAGTAAAGCACCGTACCTAGACATCATAAAATTCTTTTTTATTATCTGATTTTGGTTTCTGAATTTTTAGATCTCTTAGGATCAGGCAACGAAGACAAATTCTAAAGACTAGAGAATTTTTGGGATTCTTTACCCATTAGTGTAAATATATATTCTCATTCAGTGTCTTGATTTCAATGCTGCATTGTCAAAGATTGTCAAAAATTACCATGTCATCTGTGATTAAAAAAGATGAGTTGGCAGTATACTGAACTTTTACTTAATACTTTCCCTGAATTCAGAGAAACCACACAGACCTCATAAGCATTAGCTTAAAACTCTCTTTTGAGCATGAACCCTTCTGGTCACTTGAAACAAACTGACTTCAACAGTTTGCTGTCCTTTTTGTCTTCTTTTTAGTCTGAGGAATAAGTGCAGAGCTATAAATTACTGTTCTATTTGGAAAAGTTCCCCAGCAGCAAATAAAGCAGAAGAATTCTAACACATTTTTCCACAAAACACTGTCATAACATTGATTTCAGTGGGGCAACATGTGAGAACCACATAATCAGGAGCTGGTCTTTCTTTTGCTCCCCACAGTACTAATTATTAGTGAAAAACAGTAGTTGGGAATATACTGCCTACCACAGATATATCTAACTCATAGAAGCCAGCATGCAGGCAAAGCTGTGAGCTGATGACCCATATTGTTCATTTGTTCTTTGATATTCAAGATAAGAATTTATATCATGTTCTGTTGACACTTCCGTATGGAAGTACAACAATTTTTGTAGTATTTGTTTTGAGTGCTCATCAGAGACTTGCTATTAATATCTATACTGTTGAGCCCTTGACGGAAATTTACACTAAATTTGGAGACAATGTTTGGGAAAAGTGTGTCACAAGTAATTTTTCAGAACCCATAGATGGTGTGAGTTATCGTTATTGATTTTTTTTTGCAACACAAGATTAAGTATGTACTACCATTTCAGATAGATAAATGATTCTATTTAAATAAATTTCTCAAATAAATATTTAATGTTATCTGTGTCTTTACAATTTTATAGATTAGATCAACTGCAGACACTTCTCCTACAGAAAAACAAGTTAACTTATCTTCCACGAGCTTTGGTTAACATGTCAAAACTCAGTTTGCTAGTCGTCAGTGGTGATGATCTGGTTGAGATACCCACAGCTGTGTGTGAGTCTACCACAGGTTTAAAGTAAGTAAAAGTAAGAGAAATAGGAAGTATGCTTTTGGAAATAAAATACAGCTACTTAGAAGGGTAAGTAGTGCCATATAAATGTATTATTTTATGCACCTTTTTGTATGAAACAGAATTTTATTGCTAAATTCAAGATAAAATTAAGGTTGTTTTGTCTGAATTTAGAATGAATCTGTATTTCTGCAGGTGATGTTCAGATGGAGACAGAGCAGTTAATGAGATATTGACAAGCAGTATAATTAGTTGGAATGATTTATCTTTAGAAAGTATTTTTGTCTTTTTTAAAAAACAAGTTGAGTAAAATATTCCTCATATTTCCCCTGTTGGCTTTAGTAGCGGCTTCCAAAATTACATTCATATTGCCCTATAATGCTTAGGAACTTGGGCGTATATTCTTACTTTAATTTCTCTCTTCAGATTTGTAAGTCTCAAGGACAGCCCAATTGAAACTATTGTATGTGAAGACACTGAAGAAATTATAGAAAGTGAACGTGAACGAGAGCAATTTGAAAAAGAGTTTATGAAAGCCTATATTGAAGACTTAAAGGAAAGAGGTAAGTGGTAACTTATGGTAACTGTCTTGGAATATAAATGCAAATATACACCCAGAACATTATTTTTTAAGAGTACAAGCAATATACTGTTAGACAGAAACTGTCAATTGTGGTATTAAATAGGACTAAAAGTGAAAATTTCAAAAAAATTTTTAAATATTCAGCTCACTTGGAATTGAACAGATGTGTAGAAACCTAATGATGTGTTTGTACATTCACATTAGCCTTATTTCACTGCTAATATATGCAGTGATTGTTTTTATTCTCCGGATTTAGTTACATGTCTTGGAATTAGCATCAGTGATTTTGAGTTTCTGCAAAGTGCTTCTTCTCCTGAGGGAGAAGTGTAAAATGTATAAACTATATATAAATGTTCTTTTCTTTTAGACCATTCTTTCTGCAGTTGTATAAAAGTATTATTTACTTAACCAGTGTAACACAGATGTAATAAACCCACATCTATATATTTTAATTATACAGTTCCTGAGAGTTTACTTATTACTTTATTTTGATATTGTGAAATAACTGTCAGTCTCTTGAGTGTTTTTAGCGAAGTATTTTAAGAAACGAAGGAAATATTTTCTGTAAGCCAAAATACACATAGAGGCTGTTCAAGTCTCTTTGAGATTATATGTATACAATTATTTCTGAAACAATTATTTTTGAAAAGAATACTCCGAGATCTTTTCATTCTTTGTATTTTGTCACTTACTTAAGTGCAAAAAAAAAAAAAAAAAAAAAGTCTATGGGGAGTGGAAGCAAGAATGGATTACCTGGGAATAGGTTGTTGAGTGACATTGTGGATGTCCCCTCCCTGGAAGCACTGAAGACCAGGCTGGATGGGCCTTCGATCAATCTGTTCTAGAGGGAGGTGTCCCCGGGTGTAGCAAGCAAGGTGATCTTAATGGTCTCTTCCAATCTAAACCATTCTAAGATTCAATCATTTTATGGTTAAGTGGTCTATATAGTGGTCTTGGTAAAATATAAATGTAAAGAAATGCAATGGGATTTATCTGAACAAATCTTTTTTGGCATGGATGACTTTTGTAAATCTTTGGACCAAAACAGAGACACTGGGACAATGGGAGACATTCCTGCCTTTCCAGACTAAACTTATCTCTATCCTTTTTTACTGACACTATTTAGTTTGAGATTCATGCATGGATTCTGAGCTCTTTTGATATAAATTATGTCAATGCCAACTTGTGAAAAGCATATTTTAAAAGTAGTAGCTGCTGTATAATATAGATCAAGTGAATTTCTTCATATGAAAACTTCACAAATGTCCTTTTTTAGAATATTTTTGAAACAAAACCAAACTTTGCAATTTCTAGCTAAAGGCTCTATTTATTTATGCTTATTAAATAGCTAAAGTTTGAGATATATATTTTTTTCTTTCCACAGATTCTGCTCCTTCCTACACGACAAAAGTATTATTCAGTCTTCAGCTCTGAAGATCAATAATCTCTAAATCACTAGGGGATACCAGAATAATTCTATTTTTATCTAACTGAAAAATTAGACTGCCTGAAGCACTTCAAAACCAACATGGATTTTTTTTAATTGTTTACCACTACTACTCCTAGAAACTACAGAGAAAGCAAAAAATGGAAGAGCCATCATAAGATTCTGTTTCATCCTTCTAAACGCACACATGCATTTTTATGTCCACCATAACAAGCCCTAAATTGTCCTAATGAAAGTATATGTGAGTTCAGTTGTCCTCAGGATAAAGATGCTGTACACTGTAGTTGAAATAGTGAAACATAAATCAAGGTAGAGAACAATCTGATTCATAAAAGAGAAATATTTAGGTGGATACATAGGCTGATTTGTTGTACTCTTAAGACCAAATTACTCATTTAATTGTTTGCAATATTTAAAACACATTTATATATAATAATATTTATTTGCCTTATTTTCCAAATAGATCCTGTAGATCTATTCTGTTGCTTTTTCAAGACTTTTCCCTGTTCACATATTCAAGTACCAATGTGGCCGAAACTTCTTTATAAAACAGTCTTATAGCATTGTAGGTAATAAGATTTCAAAGACTAAACAGTGTGAACAAGTACCTTCTGTAAAACTGATTATGAAGATATTCTACTATTAGTTTCAAAATACAGGATTTTGTGGACATTGATGGGAAGTTTCTAAGCTGTGTAAGAATGCGTTTGCTGGTATAAAAAGTTATGTTACTTGCTATTTAATAATATAATAGTTTATATATAACTGTAAATGTATATACTGTAGGAATCTACATCTACGTAATTTTTGTCTAATAAAATTATACTTTTTAATCTGAAAAAACTTGGGACTTGGAGAATTTAGTCTCAAATGGGAGAATTTAAATAATCTTAAACTTTCATACATGCAAATAGGAGAAATTATCTTTACATCTTGATTTTTTACAAGGAAACCCTCCAGAGTTGGTCTCTAAGTGTTAAAGCTGATTTTAAGAAAGTCTTGGAATAACCAAAAAGCCTCAAAAATTGCAAAAAGCCAGTATAGTATCACTTTTTTTTCAAAGAGCCATCAGAATGATTCAAGAAATTATAAGCCTATCAACTTGACAATCATCTGAAACAGAATAATGGGAGATCTGAAATAGGTTCGATAAGAAGCAATTGAAATTTGATAAAGTAGTTGGCTTATGGAAATCAAGTTATCTGAAATTAACTTACAGATCTTTCAGTGAAATTATAAATTTGCTTCATTAGGTGTTGATAACAATGCAATAAACTTCTGTAAGATATCTGATTTGGCATTTCTTGAAATTCTATTTTTAGAGTCCTTTTTTTTTGTGTAGTATGACCCACTGAACAATCATAGGCTTGTACACAATCATAGCAGCTGTGCTTACAGAAGAAAGATGTACGTTTTGAGTTTTGAAACTCCAAAAAACATAGAGGTTCAAAAATAATTAACCAAACATTTATTCCTAGTGCAAATTCTACTGTCAGAATTGTTGAATACATAAACAGAAAGTACACCAGAATAGAGAAATTGAACTTATCTAACATTTCTACTAATCTTACTTGAAAGAATGTGTACCACTTCTGATACACTTCTGTTCAAAAACAAAGAGGATAAAGATAAACTGGAGAACATTTTGAAAAAAACAATGAATAGAAAACATGCACTTTAAGCTTAACTGAATAGTGGACAAGTGTATTTCTTTGGCAATGTTTATCAATTAAAAATCATGATCCAGGAAAAAAACTTCATTGCAGCAACTTAATGTAAAGCAGAATGCTAAAATGTGAATTCACACTGTTTGAGACTAGAAACAAATGACCTTTTTTTACTAAGAGTAACAAAGGGAGAACTAATAATAGGCTGTGGTAAGTTCTCTGTTGCACCTGTCTTTAAGTCCAGGTTAACATTTTACTGAAAAATTTGATGTAAATAATAGATGGTAAACAGGGGATCAGATTAGTGTTCCCAATCCTGACTGCAAACTTTGTGAATCTTATTTTACTTGTAGAATATTTTTTGCAGAATATTACTGCCTATATTTTTAATTTCAGAAAGAAAGGATGTTTTTGTCACAGAATTTCTCAAGTAGGTCTGCCCAATGGGAAGAGGGATGTGGTGGGTTATTCTTGGGTGGCTACTGGGTGTACCACACTGCTCTTTCACTCTTTCTCCTTAGCAGTACAGGTGAAAAAATATGATGAAATAAACCCATAATTTGAGACATGGGAGAGATGGAGATCCCTCACTGGTTACTGTAATGGGCAAATGTCAGGGAATTGACTAGATGAATATACGTCCGTGACAGAGGGCAAAAGGCCTCTGCCCTCTCCCCTCACTCCAGTCCCACAAAATGGGAAGGAAGGAAGGGAGGAAAAGAACAGTGGCAAAAATCTATGGAGGAAAACTTATTTTACTATAATACTGGAATACAAGATAACACAATATAATACAATTTAATTGAAATTGAGATCAGTAAATCAGACAAGATGAGAGAGAGAGTTCCCAGGACCAAGTCAAAACTGAAAAGCTTGGAATGGCTAGGAAAGCATCCTTCAGCACCCACTGCAAGGCAATAAGAGAGTGCCCCCTCACCCGGAAGGGCCAGATCCTGTGACTTCTGTAATGTACAGGGAAAGGTACTCGGAATTGGGGCATTAACACTTTAATGCCCCATACACTACATGATGTTTTGATGTGGAATACTGAAACCCAAAAAACAAAAAACATAGAACCATGACAGCAAAACAAACTTTTTTTTTTTGAAGATATATTTGATTTATTACCAGATAAATGGGGTAGAGTAGGGGGCAAGAAAGAAACAAGCAAAAGCTAAAAACACATTTAAATCTCCATCCCTTCTATCCTGATTTTGTTCCAAGGCTCGAGTTCACTCTTCTTCAATTTTTCCACCTCCCTCTCCCTAGAGGCACAGACGAATGAGAATTGCAGTCAGCCTATAGTACTTTGTCTCTGCTGTTCCTTTTTCCTCATTCTCTTCCTTGTTCCAGTGTAAGGACCCTTTCATAGCATGCAGTCCTTCAGGAACTGCTCCAGATTTGACTGCTTGAGCAGTTCCTGAAGTCTGCTATTACTCAAGAGCTGCTCTAGCATTGGTCTTTTTCAAGGGATGGCCAGGAGCCTGCTTCTGCATTGGCAATCTGTGAGCTGCAGCTTCCTTTGGAGTATTTACACTTGATACAGCATGGAATTCTTCACAGGCTTCAGTGTGGAGGTTTGTTCCATGGAATGCAAGTGGGCAGTGAATTAAACTATGGTGTCCTTCATTGGCTGCAGAGGATTCTCTCCTCCAGTATGTAGAGCATATCTTCCCCTCCTTCTTCACTGGCCTTCGTGTCTGAAGGACTGTTTCTCTCTACTTTTTCACAGTTTTCTCAGCTGCAGCCATATAACATTTTGTACCCCTTCTTAGATATGCTATCACAGAAATGCCATTTGAGTCTCTGATGGGCTCAACTCTGTCCAGTGGTAAGTCCCTCTTGGAGCAGGCTAGAACACTCTTCATCCAACATGGGATAGACCCTGGTCTCTTCTTACAGGGGTCACCCCTGCAGACCTCTCACTCCCCTGCAGGTCTCACTCCACTGGCAGGGTCTCACCACATGAACCCAGTATAATGTTATCCACATACAATTACTTCCATTACAGTCAATAAGCCCAGTAGGGAATACAGGCGAAATGAAAGTTCCACTAATTTTAACATAACTTTAGGTGAGTTCTACTTACGTCCTAAACATCAAAATGCTATGAAAACATACATCCTGCACGGTTGTCTATGGATTTGGTTTGTCTTGGCCTAGTTTCGAGACTAATGGCATGGAGGGACCATGCCCCAAAAGATGGGGAAGGAAAATCATGACAATGGTGTTAAATATAATTTCATTGTTGTCATCCATCACAATATCAAATTTGTATGTCAAGAGACAGACTTTGAATTTAGTAAAGTTTTATTGCTTTTTTTTTTTTAATAGGAATCTTTCTTTGGTCTTTGATCTTTCACTAAAAAGTTTCACTTCAAGAGAAAAAAAAGACTATGTATTATTGGCAGTTTGCATAATCCATTTTTCAATTTTTGAGAATAAATGATTTTGTGAATGATAGGAAATGTGAATAGAATGGAATGGAATAGAACAGAATAGTTTTATTGGATGGGAGCTACAAAGACCACCACCACCATCTGTTTGACCACTTCAAGGCTAAACAAAAGTTAAAGCATTTTATTGATGGCATTATCCAAATACCTTCTGAACATTGAAATGTGTGGGACAACAACTGAAGCTAAGAAGCCCGTAGCAGCCCTTGGCCACCCTTTTAGCAAAGACTTCTTTCTAAATATCCAGTCTGAACCTCCTCTAGTGCAATTCTGTGTCATTCCCATGTCCTGCCATTGGTTTCCAGTGATTAAAACTCAGCATTTTCCTCTGTTTCCACTCCTCTGGAAGCTGCAGGGAGCAGTAAGATTGCGTCTTGGCTTCCTTTTCTGGAAACTGGACAGCCCAAATGTTCTTAGCCTCTTCTCATAGCCTGTTACTGGCTTTGTTGTCCCTGGACAGTTTGAAGTACCTTAACATCCTTTTTATATTGTGGGAACGAGAAGGACACACTGCAACTGTGGGTTGTATCAGGCTGAGGATGCACTACTTCTGTTAGCTTTGCAGTGGTGTCTAGATAAACTTCATCATAGTGCTTTCTCACTCTCCTCCTCAAAGGAGCGGATGGAGAAAATGTGATAGAAGAGAGCTCAAATGTTGAGATAAGGCTGGGGATATAATTCACTACTTACTGTCATGAGCTAATTCAGCATAGGGAGATTCATATAATTTATTGCCTATTACTGACAGACAAGAACAGTGATAAACTGAAAGCATACTAAAAACTTTTTCACATTCCACCATATTCTATTTCCTTCTCCCACGAGGTACAGGGGATTGGGGGCTGCAGTCAGTTAATAATGCTTCTTCTCTGCCACTCCTCCACTGTCATTCTGCTTCTGCTCCAGCATGAGGTCCTTCCCATGGGACACCAACATTCCTGAACTTATCCTGCATGGGTTTTTGCCACAGAGCCCATCCTTCAATTGCAGACTGCACCACATGTGTCCCCAGTGGCAGCAGCTCCCCCAGCCCTCCTGGCCCATATGGGCTGCTCTCCAGGGCTGAAGCCCAGGCTTGGCACTAATCTTAGGTTTCCCTAGCTTATCAGCCACTGAATCGTGATTCGCAGGGATAACTGGGCAAGAGTGGTCAGGCCTTTGGACAGAAAGTGTTAAATCAAGGATCTGGTTTCCCTTTGTTGTGAGCTTTCTAATGCATCCACCCTTCACTGCCCCCACCCCACTCAGTTGGGAAGGGCGAAGACATCAGTTTTCTAATGGCTTGGATAGCCATTCAGGTTCCCTGGGAGAGGCCCTACGACCAGGGGTTTTCTTTCCTCAAGATTCTCGAGCTTTTGTTCTGGCCACCACTTAACTAATTTCTCTAACCTGACAGTGGGTAATCTATTCATCAAATCTCGCGGAACACCCTTTTGCCAGCCCAGTATCCAGAGACAATTATGTTTATGATCAATATTTTGCCTACCTGTTTTTACACACAATTAAACCCTTCCAGTCCCTCTGAGCTTTGGGCTGGGTGGCCTGGGGGCAAGGCTGACTGCTGCAAGTATTACTGCCCTTGGCTCAAATTTAATGGAGGAAGAAATCACCGGCCCATATTTTCTTCCATAGTTAATTAACTCTTGGGCAACCTCCCCCCACATCCATACGTTATTTCCTGACTGCAATAGTTAAGGTTTACTGTTCCTTCCAACACTGCCTGGGTTCTCTCTCCCTGTGACATAGCCTCTATTTTTCCTTGCAGTTGTATACCTACAAGTTTTAACGACTCTGGAAGCCCCCTAATTAAAGCAGTCATTCTCTCAGGATCAACGGGCATCCTCATAGGTGATTCATGATGTGGCTGCAGCTTTCTATCAGACATCATTTGGAGACAAGCAGCTTTCTATCATACATCCTTTGGAGATAAGCAGCCTTTTGAACACCCTCTACTAACTCATCAGTTAGTAGATCAGTTGTTCTAGTAATGGCAAGAGGGTCTCCCCTCTATAAAGGGTTGAGACCAGCTGCCCAATAGGCAACCCTCTGTGGTAAGGACCAAGGAGCATAGTTGTTGCCAGTAGTTAAAAATACTCCTGGTCCCCAATAACTTTCTTCTTCCTTTTCTGTTAACTGAATCTGGTCACCGCCAGTGAGACTAACCCTCCATACACACTCTGTCTCTGATTCCTTTGGAGAACAACTAAAATCTTTTTTTCAGTTTTGCTAGTTCAGTGGCTGAGAAGGGAATTTCTTCAAATTCATTTGAGATCATCTAGATCCTCACTGTTATCGAATGTATATTCGGTTTTTAACAAAGGACGCAATGGGGCTATTGTGGTTTCTAATTTGTCTAGTCTTGCCTTCATTCCTTGTAGTTCCTCCCGAGGAAAAGTTTTTTCTTGAGGCAAACTATGAGTGATGGTATCGCTGTCATGCTTACACGTTAACAGCTCCTTAAAAGCCATCTGCAACAAAGCCAAATTACGTTTCTCTCTTTCTAATTTTCCCCAAGGTTCACTATTTGATTCTGTTGAGTTTTTACCAATTCTTGTGTTACTTTAACTGATTCCTGCAGTACTTGTATAGTTTGGGTTTCTGCCGAATGCTTTTCATCTTGGAACTTCACTGCATAAATAAACGACTTTCCTTTTCGAGCTCGGGTATGAGCCTCATTTTGTAAAACACTAACACAGTCTGAAACATACTACAAATTACGCAAGTTCTGTCGTGCCCGGTCCACACCTGATAAAGAGGGTCGAGCATCATGCTTTTCTAAAAGATCAAATAATACATCTTCACTTTTCACGGTGGCAATTCTGTCACTCATTTTTCAATACGCTGAAAGATCTACACAAAGGAAGAAGGAGGTATACGTATTCAAAAGCTCAGGCAACTCCTTACCTCCCCCCCCCCCCCCAGGGAGGCACACAACACCTATTAAACTAATGCAAATGCTCCAATCACTCTTCGCTTTCTCTGAGGGAAAAAGGTTCGAATTTCACACACTTAAGTTACAAAATACTTAAATCACAAAATACAGAGAAGTCTTCCCGAGGAGGCACACACGTAATCAAAATTAATTCATATGTCCCCGAGAGGTATACACATAAACTGTAAAGTTTCAGAATACGGAAGGGTCTTCCATGGGAAGGACTCATGTTGAAATTTTCAAAAAAATTGCTCCTTGCAACTCCAGGAGGTACGCACAGAAAACCTTTATACTATATCAGGAAGGACAACACTCTCACGGTGGGTATCCTGCCTTCGACTACGCCATTAAATAAATGTCTTGCTCAAATTTATAGGAGGGAGAAGAGGTTCTTTTAACATCTGTATACCCAGATGAGATTAAGAAACAACGGTTCAAATGTTCATCCAACCAATTTATTAGGGAGATGGGGAAAGGGAGGACGGACACCACTATGAACTAGGGTAATGGGGAAGGGAAGGAGGGCAATAGAAAAAAATGGGAAAGAAGAATCAAGGAGTCGTTGTAGGAAACAAGAGGGAGATAGTCACCATCATGGATCCAGCGTGGTTCATAGTTCAGTCACTGATTTTCAGTAGTGGTGGGTCATCCAGCAGTGTTGCAACGGTGACCATGGTGATGATGGCCCTTTTCAATGCTTTCAAAGTGGTGGAGTCAGCTGTCTTTGGAGTGACAGCTCAAATGCAAAGTGGTTGAGTCAGCTCTCCTTGGAGTGGCAGCTTCTGGCTCTGGGATCTCAACAGAAACTCCTTTGTTCCCATCTTCAGGGACTTGCCAGCAGATAAGAGGGAGGAGGGATGCCAATCCGCATCCTGTTTTTCACAGGATACGATGGTATCATTCCCCAATTTTCCCATACCAGCCAGATCTTCTGCCAGTAAACACTCTCTTCTGGAGGCCAGCAGCTCTGGAGGAAGGGGCTTTCAAATGTCCACAAAGTGATGTTGATTGTCACATGGTAGCACCTATCACTTGCTTCCTCAATAAATCAATCAGAGTCTTATCATAGGAAATACCTCAGGAAGCAAGCTTTGAGCCAAAAAAAAAAAAAAAAAAAAGAAACAACAAAGAAGGATTCTCACAGAAACATAAGCTCAGTTTTCAAGAAAAGAACAAAAGAAGATCCAGGGAGCTACAGGCCAGTCAGCCTCACCTTGTGCCTGCCAAAACCATGATCGAACCATCTGTTTGATCCTCCTGAAAGCCCTACTAAGGCACATGGAGAATAAAGATGAGCTGATTGATGGTGACCACCATGGCTTCACCAGGCACACGTCATGCCTGACAAGCTTGGTGTCCTTTGATGATGGAGTTACAACATCGGTGGATAGAGGAGGAGCACTGACGTCCTTTACCTGCACTTGTGCAAAGTGTTTGATACTGTCCTGCATGACATCCCAGTTACCAAATTGGAAAAGGACGGATTTGGTGGATTGATCACTTACTGGACAAGGAATTGGCTGGCTGGTCGCACTCAGGTTGTTGTGGCCAATGGCTCAATGTCCAAGTGGAGACAAGTGACAAATAGTATTCCTCAAGGTTCAATGGTGGAACCAATGTTATTTAATATCTTTGTAAGTGACAAGAACAGTGGGATCAAGTGCACCCTTAGGAAGTTTGTGGATGACTCCAAGCTGAGTGATGCAGTTGACACACAGTCAGAGGGACTTGGACATGCTTGAGAAGCGGGCTTGTGTCAACATTGTGCAATACACAACAGTATTTGAATGCACAGTATTCAAATGCTGACATGTTAATTATGATTCAAACATGTAAAAAGATTATTTTGCCCTGACAACAGACTGTAGCCTGATGATATTCTTCTGATTTTAAGTACGTTATTCTGAGATTACTCTGGAATCACTGTTTCCACAGGGAGCCAAGGAAAAAAATCCCAAAAGAGAAGGAAATTTTGCTTTATAGAAAATGAAAAAAAGATATTACAAACAAATATGGCAACAAATAATTATGAAATATTGATTGCTGTCTTTATATTACATTGATAAAATATAAACAATCAATCAAAAAAGTGAAAAAAATATTAGTACATTTGAAAAGTTAATAACAGTAGAAAAGAACCAAGTAATTACACAGTATTTACAGATGCAAAATAAACAACAAGAAAAATGATGGGGAAAAAAAAAAACCATTCAAATGAAACTGTGATGCTATGCTTCTAATCTATTACACTAGCAACATTTTGACAATTGCTATCTGTGAAATCTTTTCACCTTCTGTATATTGGTGCTAAGCAATAACAATAGTTCAGAGATGCAGCCTGATAAACTTGTCAGAATTTCAGCTGGAAAACAGTTTGTCCACTAATGTAAACAGGAAATTGAATATTAAGGAAAAAAAGCATTCTGTCTTTGGCAATGAAAAGCCAAAGTGATAGCAGGAATTAATTTTTTTTTTTTTTTTTTAAATTCTTGGAATCTTTTTTCCACACTGTTGGCTACCAAGTAGGAGAGCTCTGGAAGCCAGAGCTGGCTTTACATGCTCTTCAGGCAGGAGTTCCATAATGAAAATCTCCATATTCAATAAAGTCACAACAGAGACAAGTCTGTTTTGCACTCTAACATATCTGGTCTGGAATTAGAACTCATCTAGTTGAGCAAACTATTGCAAAGTGTCTGTCATCAAAATTACCTTTCTTTCAATGCTACGGATTGTACTCGTGCATGACCCTAATAGTACACAAACCCACAACTGCAAACTTTGTCAACACTTGGACACGGCAATTCAGAGCTTTGTGATATGCCAAGATTATAGCAGTTTTTCTTTCCCTTCTCTTTTTTCCTCTGGGGTAGTTCTGGAAGACCTAAATCAAGGTTAGGATAGTCCATAAAGGTTAAAATTTTTCAGTTTCCTGACTTCTAGCCTTGTGGCTCTCAGATTCCTCCATCTTTGGAGGAATGCTTTGTGAAATGTCTCAGGCAACTATGAAAATCCTATTTGACTATGAGAGGGAATTCAAGAAAAAAACACTTTTTACAGCATCCTCATTTCTTCCCTTCCGTGCTCCAATGTCCTACAGTTCTGAAGCATCCATCATGTTAGGTTATCAAGTTTAGTCAATCTTTTCATTGTCTCTAATCAGTATTTAAAAGAGCATTCTGTATTACCTAGTAATCTGAAGGCCTGGAACTAGTTTCTGAGAATGAAAAAATTTGGCGGTATTAAAAGCAGTTTGGGGTAAACGGATCTCTTCATAACATCTCCCGATCCTGCAAGGTGAGTATCCAGAGGAATAAAAATGTGAAAAACAAAGGCAGAAATGGCATAGAACATGAAACTGTGATTGCTGCATATGAACCTGAAAGCTTCGTCTTTTAATTCATTTCAGCCTCTCTGCCACTGGGATCCCACAGGACAGCCATAACTTTTCACTGACCAGCTCTGTATTTTGAGTCTGAACAAAACAGCAGCCTCAAAACAGTTTGGCAGCCAGTGTACACTGCCTGACAGGACTGAAGCTAGGAGTCATAGCCCCCAGCAGCTTTGTATTGCAGACACTCCCTTGTTGCATAACCATATGACTGTATAACAATATGTTATATAATCAGACACATTCAGAAGATTTGACACAGCTATATATGTTCATAACACAAACTCTGCACAGAGAGAAGCACTGATCACACATATCTAGCATCCACACTATTCCTGTGACCTGACACACGGAGTCTCAAGGTTTGGGTTCACGCAATTTCACAGATGCTTTTTGACAGTATCAGTTCCAATTAGACCAGAAGACCTACATGCAGGTGTGGCAAGAATAAGAGAGGTAGTGTGGAAGTAAATAAAAACTGTATCTATTAAAAATAGAGAGGAAGAAAAAATTACCTAGATCAAGTTTGCAAACAGGAGAAGGGGAGAAGAGAAAGGAATGTTATTCCTGCAAAGCTGTGTTTACATTGTAAAACATGAATTTATTTTAGCTGTACTACTACCTCGTAACCTGTGATTTTATTGTTCATAAACTCCAGCATAGACTCCTAAACTCCAGCAGCAGTAACCAACTCTTGACAGGACAAATCACAAATTAGATGGATAGTCTTAAACAGCAGGTGAAGAGAGGCCACTTTCAGCATTTGTTCAGACCTTTCCAGCCATGGATTTCATAATGTGAAATTAATGGACATTTGCATTGCTCTTCAGAAGCATAACAAAGGCCCAGGTTTGAGAGTTTTCACCTCTTTGATTAAAAAACTGAGAACTGAGCCACATCCTCAACTGAATTGCACTGTACCTATGGCATCACTTGCACTTCACAATGGGCATAATTCTAGGCTCTTTTGTCCAGCATTTGTAGAGCAGAGATCCTATCTGAATGAGCCCCACATGAAGAGGAAAAAAAAATCAGGTAATATCAACTTTCAACTCACAGGGACTGATTCTTGCCTTAATGCCTTTCTCCTTAATCAGTGATAATGAATAAAAATCACAGCCACTGCTGCACAGTGGGCCCCTCCATGATTACATGCGAAGATCTGCTCTGCATGGTGCCCATGGGCTGCAGGGGATAGCCTGCCCCTCCATAGTCCTCTCCTGCGCTGAAGGGAGCTTCTGCTCCACTGTGGGATTTCTTTCTGCCCTCCTAGTGCACCAACACTGGTGGCTGTGGGATTGCTTCTCTGACATTTCTTAAACCTCTCTCCCACCTGT